GCCTCAGCCTCCCGAGTAGCTGGGACTACAGGCATGCGCCACCATGCCCAGCTAATTTTTTCTATATATTTTTAGTTGTCCAGCTAATTTCTTTCTCTTTTTTTAGTAGAGACGGGGTCTCACTCTTGCTCAGGCTGGTGGCATTTTTCCATTATTTCAAAAAATCTGGTTTTGCTTTTAACAAGTTTGTTACAGTACTGTTTTTTGGGTAACCCATTTGTTCGTTTGTCTGCCTTTCCGGAAGCTTGTAGGATTTTCTCTCTGTGTCTTTTGTTCTTACAATTCCAGTGATGTTCCTTGCTATGAATCTTCCTTATTTTTATTTTATACCTCTTTGTAACTTTTAATTTTATATCATATGCCTAAATTTGGTACTCAAAAATATAAATTGTATAACACTATACAGTGATAATTTATTTAAAGTTTTGGTGTCATTGATGTAGCTCAGTGTAGTTTAGGGAGGCAAACATGATTGATTATTAACAACTATAAAACCTCATCATCACCATTTGCTTACATTTCTGAGTCTTCCTGCAAATCAGTCTTTGTAGCTATAAAACTACATTTCTGATATCAACTATAAAAGAATGAAAAATAAGGATCTCATTTAAGATTTTTAAGTTTTATGTCCTGAAAGCCAATATTAAACTCTTATTCCACATTAGCTTCTAGGTTCTGTAGGAAACACAGAGATCGCGGTAAGACAGCTGCACCATGCTATTTCTTAAAACCTTGTGTGGAAGCAGGATAATCCCATAAATTCAGCAAATACAATAAAAGGAAATGCAAAATGGTGTTGGGAGTTTGTTGGGGAAGCTCTTGATAGTGTCTAGATGGTGGGATTGATTGCTTGCAGGTAGTTGGAGTCTTGAACAGATACAGGTCATACGGCATTTTCCTCTTTGCTGTTTTGTTGACCAGGATTATAAGTAGGACTTAACATCAGTCTTGTGGCAGGGGAGTGGCAGTCTTCCAGAGTAATTTCCTGTCTGGTACTGTATTTGTTTTTTTAACTCTGGACTTGATTCTCAAACTCAGGCTGAAATATTGTTCTCCCATTCCTTTCCCCACATGATCTACTTACCACAGGGAAGGGAGAGGCTTTGCATCTGGGTGTTGGGTGCTGTGAAACCACTACCCGCCTGCCCCTGAAAAATTCTTTGGGAAGAAAGAACCCAGGAGTTTGAGATTGCTGTGAGCTAGGCTGACGCCATGGCACTCTACCCAGGGCAACGGAATTAGACTCTGTCTCCCCCCACAAAAGAGGGGAGAGGCAGGCAGAGTTTAGGGGTGGTAGTGGGAGGTGAGGTAGTAACCCCAGGTCACCTGTGTGCTCCGCTTCGGCCCATCAGGGCCCTAGTTCATCCTCCCTTCCTTGAATAGGCTCTTTTAAAGGGAGTGGTTTACCATAGGAGGCCTTTCCTTTAATCCTTTAGAAGGGTTGATTTATCTTTATAAAGACAAGAAATTCAAGCACAGTTGTTTTAAACTGAAATAAATGTTTGGTAGAAACATACAAAAGGGACACCGAGGGCATCATTCTTAATTACATAATCTCCGCTTTGAATAGGATCTTTAGCATTTTTTTAAAATGTTTTCTAAGCAATGTTTACCTAAATAATTTGAGTAATTTCTTACCCCTTAGCATCTTGCTGCTGTGGAAGAGAGAAAGATCAAGTCCCTAGTAGCTCTCCTGGTTGAGACACAAATGAAGAAACTAGAAATCAAACTTCGACATTTTGAGGAGCTGGAAACTATCATGGACAGAGAGAAAGAGGCTGTAAGTAAGAGCAATGATAGTAATTTATTATTATATGTTATATAATAGTATAACATATAAAAATGTAATAGTGGCGTTTTGATAATTAAACCCTGACCACTTTTTATAAAATACAAGTTAGATAAAATAAATGGTAGACTGTTCTCTGTAGCTAACTTATGTCATTATCCTATGTTTGAATTGTCTTTTCAAAAGGATTATCAGCCAGTGATGATAAATAAAAGGAACTCTGTTGACTTTCTAAAACTAATTATCTAAATCTCAGTTCCTGTACCTCTTGGCTGTGAAGATATATCGTGTTATTAAATTCTCCCTTCTATAAAACTTGGATCTTAGAATTATTTCATCACCTACTTCTTTCCAATAGAGTCTGTATAAATCCATTACCTGATTTTGGGATTTTCTTGATTTCCTGACTTCTACAGTATAAATATTAGAAAGTAAGAATTAATCTCAATCTTGAATTAGGACCCTTGAATTAAGTGTTCTATGATCCCTCCTTAGATCCAACCTTAGGCTTTCTCACTCTTCCCTTCCCTCTCCTGTGTGTTGAATAGTAGCTGGAAATAGGCCTATCCTGAACCCCCTAAGCATTCTCTGGGGCAGAAACTTTTGACATGAGGACATGGCCCAAACAGGACCAAGAGAATTGTTAAAAGGCCAAAAACGAAAAAGGAAACCATGAAAAGTAAAAAACTTAGAAGCAGAGGAACATTTGATTATCTCAAGGGAATTTTAGAGAAACAGATTAAGCTTTTGGGGGAAAATTTTTTTTTTTTTTTTTTTGAGACCGAGTCTCGCTCTGTTGCCCTGGCTAGAGTGAGTGTCGTGGCGTTAGCCTAGCTCACAGCAACCTCAAACTCCTGGGCTCAGTCGATCCCACTGCCTCAGCCTCCCGAGTAGCTAGGACTACAGGCATGCGCCACCATGCCCAGCTAATTTTTTGTATCTATTTTTAGTAGAGACAGGGTCTCGCTCCTGCTCAGGCTGGTCTCCAACTCCTGAGCTCAAACAGTCCACCCGCCTCGGCCTTCCAGAGTGCTAGGATTACAGGCGTCAGCCACCACACCTGGCCGGAAAAATTTTTTTTAATGAATTGATTAGAGAAAGAATTAGTGACTTTCTAAATATGGGCTAAATTTTGGCATTTAGTTAGGATTTTTTTCCCTCTGATTATTTTGACTTTTTAATCTACACATGAGACACTTGACTCCCATCTCCAAATGGTGGAACCTTAAGAATACATTATTTCGGGCCAGGTGTGGTGGCTCATACCTGTAATCCTAGCACTTTGGGGGGCCGAGGCAGGAGGATCACTTGAGGCCAGGAGTTCGAGACCAGCCTGAGCAAGAGTGAGAGCCCATCTCTACCGAGAAATAGAAAAATTAGCTGGGCATGGTGGTGCGCACCTGCAGTCTCAGCTACTGAGGAGGCTGAGGCAGTAGGATCTCTTGAGCCCAGGAATTTGATTGAGGTTGCAGTGAGCTATGATGACACCACTGCACTATAGCCCAGGCAACATAGTAAGTGATCAATCCAAGTAAGTCCTCTGGCAAATTCCTCATGATGAGTAAACCAGCGACTTTCACCAAAACCCATATTCATTTTGTTCTAAGCCCAGCTGGGTGACTTGCACAGGCATTCTGGCCCATGAGTAGGGAGGGGCTGCTTTAGTAACTTTCCTACCCCTACCTTTTATCATCCCACCCCTGTTTCCCTGGCAAGGAATTTTCTCACTCACTGTGCCTCTGACTCACTCTCGTCCCCACGTCTGTCATTCAGCTCCTGTCCTGTGAGCATCTCTCACACCACTGGCCCTCTCCTGCCCTGGGAACTGATGAGGCACCGGTGTCATCTCCATTACCCTCTGTGCACCAGCCATGGTGTCCCCCATGTAGGTTCCCTCACGGCCTTGTTTTCTCTGCTACCTGTTTGCATCCTACTTCTGTGCCTGGAAGGCACTTTTCCCCATTTTTTGCCTACCTCCTGCATTCCTCAGCTGTGGATGACATCCCCTCCCCCTTTGCTGCTGTGGTAGCCTCACAAAGTCCCCCCCCTTTTTAATTGGGAAACGGAGTCTAACTCCATTGCCCTTGGTAGAGTGCCATCGCATCAGCCTAGCTCACAGCAACTTCAAACTCCTAGGCTCAAGCGCTAGGCTCAAGCGATCCTCTAGCCTCAGTCTCCTGAGTAGCTACAGGTGGCCTACAGGTGCATGCCACCACGCCTGGCTAATTTTTCTATTTTTTGTAGAGATGGGGTCTCCCCGTTGCTCAGGCTAATTTTGTCTGTTTTTAATAGAGACAGGGTCTTGCTCTTGCTCACTTTGGTCTCAAACTCTTGACCTTAAGTAATCCTCATGCCTCGGCCTCCCAGAGTGGTAGGATTACAGGCGTGAGCCACCATGCCTGGCCACAAAGCACTTAGTGTGTGATAATCACCAAGTCATCTGTCCACATTCCATACCAGAGTGCGTACTCTTTGAGGGCAGGGAGTTAATCATGGGTCTTTGTTAATACAGAACTGGTATATCATAGGCCTTTATTTAAATGTCTTGAATAAATGTGTGCCATAATCATTGTCAGAAGTTCAGAAGTAGAAAAGAAAATCCACCTTGAGAGACTTAGTTTAATGGGGAAAACAGTGAAGGAAACAAATAGTGATAATACAGGGTGTTTGGTGCTTCTGTGGGAACAGAAGGGAGGAATCCCTGGGAGATGGGAAGAGGTAAAGGATATCAGAAAAAACTTCTTAGAGGCAGAACTTAGCGAAATGAATATTTTTATTTATCTTGCCCTAATAAGCTTGCCTTTTGTCATGTTTTGAATTTTCTCAGGGAGATTAGGATACTCTAGGGCTATAATATAATGGAGTATTGGAGTATGTGGAATTCAAATGATATAGGTAGTTCCCACTCACAGCCAGATGCATTGCTGTCATTTGTGAAGCATTCCTGGTGTATTATCTTTAAAGATTGGGATGATCCTAACTGAGCACTTACAGGATAATGTCTGGATTGTCAAGGGGCTCTTTTCTCATCTCTGAGTCACTTTCTCTTCAGTGGGTAAACCTGTAGCTCCCTCCTCTTTTAAACCTTCTGATGGAACTGTTGTCTGTCATCTGAGAATAGCAGAGCCCTCCCTACACAATTTTCCTGTGCAGTGAAATTTTTTATAATTATTTACCTCACATTATGTAACTCCACTATTTTTCTTTTGATTTTTTTTAATGTTAATTCTTTTTTTTTTTTTTTTTTTTTGGGGGGACTAGTCAAGTGCAGTAGTGAGGAGGGGGGAAAATAGTAGAGCAAGGAGTTCAATCTGTAACTGACTGTGAACAATCAAGTGATATAACTCACTACTTTTGGACCAGCCTAATGTTAAGTTCTAATCAGAGCACACAAGATATTTTACAAGATAGTCTCTGAATAAAACAACACAACTGAAAATGTTGAGAAAATATTCTACTGACTCTATCCAACACACAAGCCGCCTCTGCTTGAATTTTTTGGTGATTGACCTTCCTTTTCTTTATTAGCATTCAGTGTCAGCTGCATTTGTGACAGGAAAGTTCTTTGTAGGGGAAGTCCCTACCCTTACCAAGTGAATACCAGTAACCCAACTGTGTTAGTTATTTATTGCTGTGTAAAAAATTTCCCCAAAGGTTAGTGACAAAAAACAACAGCCATTTATTAATCTGACATGTTTTCGGAGTGATTGAAAAGAGCAAGAATATGAAAAAGTACCCGAAATGGAAGCCACCATGTCTTTTATAACCTAAACATGGAAGTCACATCCCATCACCTCTGCTGTATCCTCTTGGTCACACAGACCAACTTTGGTTCTGCGGGTGGATGGGTGGGAAGACAGAGTTCAGTGGGGATGGTGTAAATATTAGAAATTGAGATATTGGGGGCCAGCTTGGAGACTCATTCTCACACAGACCAGAATGGGCCCTTTGAACTTCAAAATGTCACCCATTCATTTTGTGCACAATAAAGACAAACTCTTTATCCACCCCAGCACTAGCATCCTGTCCTTCCCTGTGGGCAAGCAAAGGTATGACTGTTTTCCTACTGATGATTTCTGCATAGAACTGTTCTGGAGATTACATGAAAGAACTATGGCATGCACCTGGCACAGCGTCTAGCACATAATAAGTATTTGGTAAATATGTGCCTCCACTTATGCAAACCAGTAGTCAGCAATTATAGATGAAACTTTTAAGATTTAGTGACAGTACACCTGTAATCCTAGCTACTCAGGAGGCTGAGGCAGGAGGATTAATTGAGTCCAAGATTTCGATGCTGCAGTGTGCTATGATCATCCCTTGAATAGCCATTGCACTCCAGCCTGGGCAACATAGCAAGACCTCATCTCTTAAAAAAATTTCTGAGCTATTGTTGGCTTTGTGAACATTTATTGTTTCAGTCACTGTGCTAAGGCACTTTAAATAGATTTTCTCATTTAATCTCCCAAAAAACTATATAAAGAAGCCATAAGTGAGAAAGTACTGACTGCTCTGAATCTTATTCTTCATGAATCCACCAGTGGCAGGTCATGGTGGCTCACACCTGTAATCCTAACACTTTGGGGAGACTGAGGTGGGAGAATCGCTTGAGGCCAGGAGTTCGAGACAAACCCAGGCAACATAGCAAGACCCTGTCCCTACAAAAAAATGTAAAAAAACACATAGCCAAGTGTGGTGGCATGATCCTATAGTTCCAGCTACTCAGGAGGCTGAGTCAGGAGGATTACTTGAGCCCAGGAGTTGAAGATTATAGTGAATGATTGTGCCACTGTACTCCAGCCTAGACAACAAAATGAGACTCTCTTAAAACAAAACAAACAATCCAACAATGATGCTAGATGACAACATAAGGCCATTCTTTTGCATTCCTTTGTTAGGTCTGTAGATGAGACTGGAACTTGGACAGGATAAGTTATGTACCTCAGATCACACAAGTCATAAATGACAGAGCCAGATCTCAGACCTATGAT